GAAGACATCAAATGTAGTAGCACTTTTAATGGTAATAATTTACACTGCAACTGTATAATACTGATATTATGAGTCCTCTTACAACTTATCTTTTATAATTATTACTCCAATAATATCTTTTGTTTTATATATCTGGTCACTATTTAAGTGTTGGTAGCTATTAAATATGCCATGATTTTCGTAAAAAGGCTAAATAATTGACCCTATGCTACATTTTAGTGCCTGTAGTGCATATTATGATTACCTAAGCTGTGCTCGTCTACACGTTACTTTCATAAACAGGAAGAACAATTACAACCATCTGAATGAACACAAACAACAGCTGACTTACACATTGTGTTTGTGTCTTTCATTGCTGTTTTGACACAGACACCTGCCAGAAAATGACCCTGCAGCCATTAACTCCAGTGAACTGTGCAGGCCTTCTGCAGCCCGGCTGCTCTCTGCTGCAGCTGGATGGTGAAGTTCTGCTGTTTGGCCAGAAGGGTTGGCCTAAGCGCTCGTGTCCAACAGGAGTATTTGGTGTACGGTTTAAACATGGCGAGATGAAGCTGAGAGCCATCTCGTTCTCTAATGACTCGTGCTACCTGCCCCCATTACGCTGCCCAGCTGTTTGCCGCCTCGACCCCTATGATGGGCTTCCAGAGAGTTACCTCATCCACGGTGGTCGCACTCCAAATAATGAGATCTCATCAAGCTTGTACCTGTTGACCATGGATAGTCGTGGCTGCAATCGTAAATTAACGCTCTGCTGCAAAGAGAAAGAGCTAGTGGCAGAAGTGCCAGGACCTCGATATGGCCACACAATGAGCATGGTCCAAAGTCGTGGGAAGACAGCTTGTGTGTTGTTTGGGGGTAGGTCCTACATGCCCTCAGGAGAGAGGACCACGGAGAGCTGGAACAGTGTTGTAGACTGTCCACCTCAGGTGTTCCTCTTTGACCTGGAGTTTGGCTGCTGCTCTGCTCACACTTTACCTGAGCTTAGTGATGGACAGTCTTTCCATCTGGCCCTTGCTAGAGAAGACTGTGTCTACTTCATTGGAGGCCACTCACTAGCCTCAGACTCACGTCCACCGCGTCTGTTTTGCCTGCATGTTGAGCTTTTGCAAGGCAGCCCGTTGCTTTCCTGTGAAACCCTAGACAATGGTTTATCTATCTCTAGTGCCATCTTTACACGTACGGGACCCACTCATAGATACATCATCTTAGGTGGATATCAGTCAGACTCACAAAAGCGGATGGAGTGCACTACTGTGATTCTAGATGAGAAAGGAATCCACTTTGACCCCGTAGAAACACCCAAGTGGACCCCAGATATCATCCATAGTCGTACTTGGTTTGGTGGCAGCTCTGGAGAGGGAGGCATCCTACTAGCTGTGCCCACAGAGGGAAGGCCATCCCAACAAGATATGCATTACTTCTACCAGGTGAACTTCCAGACAGAGGGAGAGACCAGAGAGGAAGATGGAACCCTTGCCTGCAGCCAGGAGTCAACGGATTATGATGACTCCACTCCTCTTGAAGATTCTGAGGAGCTCTACTTCGGCCGTGAACCACATGAGTTGGATGGCAGCAGCGACGGAGAAGGGGAGGCTTACAATGAAGAGGATGAAGAGGATGAATCACAAACAGGTTACTGGATAAAATGCTGCCTTGGCTGTCAGTTGGATCCCAACACATGGGAGCCATACTACTCCACAGAGCTCCACCGACCAGCCATGATCTTTTGCTCCAGAGGGGAAGGGGGCCACTGGGTGCACGCCAAGTGCATGGAGCTGTCTGAGACCCTGCTGCTGAAACTCTCTCAAGGCAACAAGAAGTACTTCTGCTTGGACCACGGAGGCCTGCCCTACCAGGAGATGACCCCACCTCGACATATTATACCACTGAAGCGCATCACCATGAAAGCTAAAGACAAAAAAAGACCTCTGACAATCAAGATGTCCCCTGCCAAAAAAAGCTTTTTCAGACGGCTGTTTGACTGACTCAGATTTTCATATGATGTGTGCCTGTTAAGAAAACTTTGTATGCTTAGGATGTTTTTTCCACCCTAACAGTAATCTAATAAACCAAATCGAGAAAATCCCTCAAACTACCTTGAAGTGCTCACTGAACGTAATAGAGTCACAAGCCAAGTTTAAGTTAGATCACATGACTATTGAACTAACAGACAAACACTCACACCTACTTGATTTATTTTGAGTTAAATTAACAGTTTACAGTTTTTGAAGATTTGCAACATTTCCTTTTATTATTGAATGTTTCTGTTGTTATTTCACATTGTGCAACAAAAATGCAGTTTTACTCTTTATCAGCTGTGAAAAGGTTCATTCTGTTTCTTTCTTTCTTTCATACGTACGTTTTAAGTACCACAGACCCACTTTCTTCAAAGTGCAGATGGAACTGAATTGTTATTGCAGTGTTTTGTACAATAAAACTGATAAATCCTTAATAAAATGTGTGATTTTCAGTCTGTAATTTTGTGTCCTCACAGTGGTGTATTGTTATCTTAAAAAGACATACTCTAATTAGCCTATCAGTTTAAAACAGTCGGTGTCTCCCATCTGATGCTGTTATTAATGACCCTGTTTTAAATTTCCTATACAATAAATTTAGCATGTTTAATGAAGGCATGCAAATTTTCACAGTTACAGGTAGTCACACTATGGAGGTATGAGTCTAAAATTTTACTTATTATTTTTTGAATTACTGCATTATATTCTCCAGCATATTTGAGCTATTGTACCAATTTAATGTTTCTCAATCCGAATTCTTGTACTTGACAGGTTTACAAGGTCTTATCAATTATAGAAAACATAATGGGAATTAAAAAGCTCAAAATTTTAGCCCGCCTTTTGGTACTTTAAGGCCCTGTAACTCTGAAAATATTCATAGTATGAAGGTAAAAATTTTAAATATCTTATTAAACACACAAAGTTACTGTACAAAGCATACTAGCTAATTTTGAGGGATCAAATGTGAACTGTTGTCCTGGTACATTTTATATCAAATGATCCAGTTATATGTGCGTTTCAGTTATTTGTCACTCTCTTGAGGAATATACTGACTACTAACTCCAGCTTTCAGTATTAAGTAGGTATTAAGTAAGTATACTAAATTGATTTCAGAGTTATATAAACATGAGCATAAATATGATATTGATAAACAATACGTAATCAGAACTGTGAACAGTTAAATGGTCTAAGCTATATATATATATTGAATCAACTGAATTTCTTTAGCTTTTAAAGTGCTTCCATATTCTCTGCATTCAGGTCTGCATCTAGTTTGTTGTAATGTTTTCTAAAAGATCATTGTTATTTTGTTTTGTTTTTTTATTAACACTTTACAGCTGAATTCTGTGTTACTAATGCAAAATTAAATTAAATACAAAAATAATAATAATTTAAGCAAACAAGAATCACAATTCTTCAGTTTTTATTTATTATCTGATGTAAACAGAGACAAAAAGTACAAACTTCACAAAAGGATGGTAAGTTGTCTGATTCAATGACAATACATAAGAAATAAGTAAATACAGCATAACATAATTTGAAGGTAGTGGTAGGTAGTGGAACTTTAGTGTATGCAAAATGAATGAACAGAGAAAGTATTGTGCGGTCCCAGTAAACTGTACATTTAGTCTATGCATGTGAGCCCAAAATGAGGAGATACACTGTGAAACATGACAGAAGTAGAATTTTGTGAATCATCCATCATCCATTACTTTGGAAATGCAATTCATTACGGCAAAAACAAATATGAGACAAGTTGCTATATAATGCACTCCAAAACATGGCGTTATGGTAGCACTGTGACAAGTATCCAATGAAATGCGGATATTTCATAGCTGTCATATGGTTACATTTATGACAGTAAAATAAAATCAAACATTCAATCAAGTAAGAAAACAAAATTGCCTGTCACAATTCAAAATGGTGAGGGCAGAAAAAGACAATATAATCAATCAATCAAACAAATAAAGTTGCCAACAATTCAGTTTACATCAGGTCTTTCTGGCTCTCACCCATCGCTCTCCCCTGACGACTGAAGCTGTGAAGATATATCAGCTGAGAAAAAGAGCCAGGTTATATACAGAACTTAAGAAAAATCCCTGCCTGCTAGAGAGTCCATGGGGTATTAGGCACCGTAATGGACCATACTGTATTTTTATGATATCAACAAAAAGGTCAGTATATGTTTTATTTTATGAGAAGAATTCAAATAAGTATCATCTATCCTCCACTGTGCAAAAAGTAAACGAGATAAAAATTGGTTCAAAGTGACCTGGCATCTATTCTGCCCCACAGGGATCCCACGATAAAGCAGTAAAGTCATCTTTTTCAGAGGGCACTCATGAAACAAAGAACATTTGGGTCTCTGTGATTGCATTTTGCTCCTGCTAAAATGATATATTAATACAGTGGCCACAAATGTGGTCTTTTTAACACGATTTCTCTCTATGACTTACAGCGCTTTCATCTGTTTCCATAAATATCCTCTCTATATAAATGCATAAATGTGTCATATCCTTGCAATACAATAAAATGCACCATTTTTCACAGATGGTGTCGATTTATAAACCAAAAAAAGGAAAAGGAGTATGAAAAAAAATGTGTTGCCTCTGCCGTCACATCTTTGTGGTGTAGTAACTAACAGTTAACAAAGCAATTCGAAGTCAAATAAATGTTTAAAGAAAGAAAAACAAACATCAAAAGTGTAAAATAGCATTGTTTTCCATAAAATAATCTTCATTTATGGGTTCAGGTGCAAAACACTGGCTATTCAAGCAAAATCTGTTTGTAATATCTAACAACACGCAAGCATCTGAGTTCCAAAATATAAAAACAAAAAACAACATAAAATGTGTTTGGCCTCTTGCCCAAAGCAGAATGAGACTGACTTCACTTTCTGGAAAGTCAAAATACTTCCATGTAGAGATAACTGACCAATGGTACAATTCTCTAGAAATCAATCAAATGTTAATAGTTATGGAAAATTCAAAAATCAGGAACTTCCAAAGACATTTCATCATCATCCTGGATCTCTACTGGGTCAATGGTAGCCTGTAGAGCCTTTGCAGAGTCCTTGTGAGCTTCCATAAACTTCTGCAAGTACTTGGACGTGTACAGCCAGTGGTGTTTCAGCACGTCCTCCAGTTCAAAGGTCTTAGACTGGCGTGCATTCATCTTGCGAAAACGCCTGAAGAGCTTGTTTGCTGACTCGTTCCCCTCGCTGGCCCAGGCTCCTATGGATCCGTCTCTCTCTATAATTTCAGGTACGTGGGCTAGGGTCTTGTGCAGATAATTTGTTATCTTTCCATTGTACCTATATTTGAAGGTAGTGGAGAGGAGGTCAGCAAAGCGCTGAGAGTTAAAACTGTAGCGGCATAGCTGGTCAGGGCATTCCTTGGCTGGGCAGGTGGCACGCCACACAGGTTTCATTTGGAGGTAGAGTTTGATAAGCTCCCTCAGGGCCTCTCTTCTCTCTTCTGAGGGCACCAGCTCACACACCACGTCCACAGCCTCCTGGGTCATTAGTCTGCGGGCGTAGTTCCCATTCATCCTCATTACTGGTTTAAGCTTCATCTGCTTCCTCAGCTGTTTATCTAAGGCCGCCCTCCAGCTGCGCCGTTCCTCCCGGCTGGGGTTGGCCTTTTTATACACCTCTCCGATCTCATCCTGGAAGATCTTGTAGAATTCAGTAGCATTGCCGATGTCACAGTGCAATGCATCTAGCGTTGGCTGCGTCTCCAAGAAGGGCTTTGCAGACACACCTTTGACTCTATCACGCAGCTCATCTACTGACTCAGAAAAGGGGTTGGTTCTCCATATTTCATAGCGTTCTAGGTTCTCTTCGTGACTGCGGGTGATGGAGTGCAGCACCATGTTTTGAGAGGCCTCTGCACGACTGGAGTCACATAGAGTGCAGACGTACGTGGACCCAGAGGCCTCCAGCCCCTCCATCTCACGCACCATCTTCTCATCATATCCCGTGCCCCTGAAGTGGAAGCGAAAGGATCGAGGCAGACCACCCATGGACAGGATAAGTCTGCTTTCTTTCATTGCATTACGTTCTGCAACTATAGGCCCCAGGACAGCTGTGAGTGTCTCATGGTCTGACTCATCCACAAACATCAGGCACAGAGGCTTACAGGACAGTTCTGAATTTGGCTTTGGCTCGGTAAAAATGGTAACCTCCTCCTCCTCATCGTCTGCCAGGACAGAGACAGACATAACAGTGAAAGAAAAACGAACAGCCTTCTCAGGAACAACTGGTCCCCCGCCATGCTTCTCGCTGACATCACCCATGCCATCGCAACATTCCTTGATCATGACACTAAAACCTGATGTGCAGGCACTGTCTTCCATCCCACTCTCCCTCAGCCCCTCCATGATGTCCTCCTCCAGATCCTTTAAGGCAGACACAAGTGCCACATCGTACCGAAAGCGCCGAGTGATAGTGTCAGCTGGGACGTCATCCACTGAGGAAGACCATCCAGAGAGCCCATTAATAATGCCAACATTATAGGATGGGGACACGTTTTTGAGAGCTGGCTGCCATTCAAACTGGTGAAAACCAGGGAGAAGCTCCTTCTCTGCAGCTCGAAGAGTGTGCAAGGGCTGAAAGATCTGGCGGCCACTTGTGGCTTTGACAGTCCGATACATCTTATGATATTGACTGCAGCTCAGGAATGTGTTGACCCGAATGGCCAGGCACACAGCAGGACTCAACCCAAAGCCTCTGCCTGCAGAGAGAGAAAATGAGAGGAGATAAAGTTTCAGAGAGAGACAGAAAGAGGCACAGTCTCAACATAAAAAGAAAGGATTGACACATGAAGAGAATTATTTAATACCAACCCACAGAAGCCTATTTCTAGTGCTTTGAAAATACTGCAGTATCTAAAATTTCCTCATTTGATATCCCACATTTGGAGTAATTTCTACAATGAGACAGACAGAAGCGTAAATTTCACACCCAAATGTGAATGCCTCATTGTCAAAAGCCCACAAGCCGCTGATTACAAAATCCAATATTTCCTAAATTTCAAATGTTATAAGGGGACAGAGGGTGAATCAGTGAAGCTGGCAATAGTGATGTATTGGCTGTAGATGAAAACAGACACCAGCTGCCTTCTATTCCCCAGAGAGGAGGATGGTGCTGTCTGTGTAATTTGCAGATACAAGAGCTGCTGATGTTGTTTTGATTCTAACAGCCCCTTCACAAGAGTTGTTATTGTGCATTAAAGGGAGTGTGAGAATGAGAGACTGACAGACAAGATGAGTGAAAGTGGGAGAAAATCAGGGAGGGGTTGAATGTGCAGCAGCAGTGGTTCAATAGACAGAAATGGACAATAATTAAATGCTTTTCAATCAAAATCACAGAAAGCTTTCTTATGTCTCCTGAATATTGGACTTTTCTTCATTGTTATTCATGAGACGACTGTATTCCTCGGGGGTAGGTGGAAATATTAATGAGCAAACACTATCATGATTTTCATTTGTTTGTATCCCCCTTTCTTTGCCACGGAGGGCTGTGTTGATTGAACATAAACCCTTATAATAGCCTCTTACCTTGCATCATGGCCTCTAGCTCATCTGCCTGACGGTGTTCATTCCCAGATCTCAGTGCAAGCAGAAACAGCGTCAAACACACAGACTTCAGATCACCACCTTCCTCTTTGTCTGCAAACACCTTCACCTGGTTCTTCAGATCCCTCAGTCGATGCTTCTGGGCACGACGGGTTAGCGAGAGCAAGTGCTGGCGAGGTCTTCCCCCTTTATTGGTTAGTAGGAAGTTATCAAGTTCTGACAGACTCAGGTTTTCATTTTCCTTCAGCTCGTGGCTCAGACAGTGAGCCTTAAATGAGTCCAGCCTCACTTGCTCACGACATCCCTCACTGGGGCAGAGCAGAGGTAGGGAATGGAGGGCAGATGAAAAGACTTTGGCAGGTGAGGTGAGATTATCGGGTGTACAGGGCGAGTTGCAGGCAGGGCAGTGAGGTCCTAGAACGTGGGTAAATTTTACAATGCAGCCACGGCAGAAGAGGTGCCCACAGGTGGACTGAACTGGATCAGAGAGCAGGTGGTCACACACTAGGCAGGTGAACGATGCAACAAAGTCCACAGGGAGCTTCTCAGAGAGCAGCTTGGTGCTCAGGTGATCTTTCTGGCAGCGTGTAATGTTCCTCACCCACTGCTCTCTCTGGATGCTGAACTTCTTCCAGGCCCTGAGAGCAGGACCATGACGGTCTCCAAATGGTCTCAGAACTCTCCTCTCACCAACAGCGATGGCGTCGCAGTCCCATCTGGTCCTTTTTGCCAGGCTCTGTGCTCTTGGAAGGACTTTCCTCCTCTTCCTTCCAGTCCTCTGGAATGATGTTTTTTTGGGGTAGCAGAGGTGGCACAGGGAAGAGTGAGGTTTCCACTCAGGCACTCTTGTTCTGGTGAAGCTGCAGACCCCCCCACCTCGAATGGCAACCATCCAGCAGCGGTGGCAGAAGGAAAGGGGGTGGACAGATTCTGTGTCCTCTGTCACGTCCACTTTGAAGACTTTAAGGATGACTTCTGGCCAGCTTGGGAACTTGCAGCCCATTTTACGCAAGGCACACTTGCTCACCTCATCCAGATCTCCATGAACATCGTGCACTGGTCCTTTGACTTTCCTCAGAACCATTCCACAGACACGACACAAACCCCTATAAAGAGCCAGGGAAATAGTGTCAGATCCTTAGAAACAAATGAATATAACATAGCATCATTCACAAAATGTAACAATTTGATTACCTGAGGTGGTCCATGTGGGTTTCCATCTCCTGTAGCTTCACATCTACTCTCCTGCCAGGGCCCTCCACATTTTCCTTGCTTTTCCCTCCTAGGCATAATTTCATAACACTCCCTGGACCTGCAGCATGATCTATTTCTATATTTGGAGCTGCCGTAGGTGAAGTCTCAGGCCGTGTTTCACTGGGCAGAGGGGCTTTCTCCATGGACTTCACCCTGAAGAGTTTGAACTTCCACTGAGAATACTCAGAGTGGGGATGGTGGAGCTCTGGCGGCATGGATGATCTGGGACCATCTGTCTCCAGGCTTTCTGCTGCCATGATGAGATGTAGAGCTTAGGTGCTGGAGAGGCAAGGAGAGGAGAGAAGAGATGAGGAGGTCATTTGATATACTGCAAAAGCATGAAAAACAATTTCAGCCATCTGTAGTATAAGATGATAGATATTGAGAAAAGGTTTGAAGGTTAAAAATCCTCACAGGGATGGTTGAGCCAGTAGTGTCTTCTCAGTATTGAGACCATGACACAATCCAAAAGCTTTACTTGATTCCTGCTGAATTTATGCTCATAACACCCTGAAATTCCCACTGAATAGAGAAGAGCAAACCTTGACCTAGACTGCTGTATTATACCATAAGTGGCATTTAGATCTTGTGTAAAATGCATGAGACAAGCACTAGGGGATCGATACAACACCAAAATCCTCATTTCACTCATCTTCAAGCCCATCACTCAGTAAGCTACTGTGACTTTTTTTTTTTCTTTGACACAGCAAGTTTGCTAAATGGGAAACCTTATCCCAGCAAGGTTGTCAATCATTTATATTAGTTGTTTTCTTGGCTGGCAGGAGAGCTGGAGCCCTGAAAGCTTCCAACTGGCACTTTTAATGCAAGGAAAAATCGGAAACACAGCAAACTTATTACATATTACATAGATATTGACCAAACCAGATGCAAAAGAAGATGAGAAACCATCATATTGAATAAACATCATAAAGAATTATTCCAAACACAAGATTGTTCAATTTCAGCAGCCAAGTGCTCTTATGATACAGCACAGGTAAGATCAATGACGGTGCTACACTGATGGGCCCTATTTCATCTTCTCCCATACTATCTAGGTTCTATTACCAGTTCTGACAATAAAGCAGTCAAACAATCTTAGAAACTAATAGTTCAATCTTTGCTCTTACCATTTCACACCTACAGCATTCACACAGTTGAATCTTCTGTCTATCCATCTTTCAATGATCTCACTACATTTTCATCCTTGGAGGCTCAAATCTGTCAGTCTCCTTATTTTCTCAGCTCTCTCTCTGTGTACTTCTCATGCTGAACTCCCCTTTGAGACAAACAGCTGAGCCTGTGTGCATGTGTGTCAGCTGGGTTCTTACCTTGTTTTTCAGTCTCAGCTGGCGTCAGCTCCCTTGGGGGCTCCTCTCTGCATGGGAGCACAAGGAAAGCCCTGGAGCTAGGCCCTTACACCCTACATATACTGTATACGTTTGAGCCAGTCACAGCTTGAAGCTTCTGTTACCAGGAGTCGTGGCTCCATAAAGTGGGAATGCTCCTGACTGTCTCATTGAGCCTCATATTTATACCCATCCTTTGGTGGAATCCCAACAGTCAACCACTGCCACCTGATCGAGGCAGCTGAGGGAAGAAGAAAAAAACAAGGTCAACCCCAAAGAACAGTTGTAACATGTGCATGCTGAGAATCCAACAGCATACCCCCAAAACAAACAACTTTTTACCACACCACACTTATCCTCAGCTAGACACACTTGCATGTCTAGCTATCTTCATCCAGGTGGCCTCACTGTGACAGAAAGAGCAATACTGTTAAACCTTTGAAAAGGCTGAAAGTGCAGAGACGTAGCAGATCACAGGATAAGTGGTCAAGATAAAAACAAAACTGAATAATGGTGGGGGATTTTAACAGCATAAATATCTGAATAATCAAGAAACGGGAGGAACTATAACAATAACAAAGACTTGTTGTTGTAATCTTCATTCTAATCATCTTTCTTTTCCCTTGGCATGTCTAAGTGTTTGTGACTTCTGCCTCAGCAGTCCAAATGGGGGCTGCTGTGACAAACCAAATGACAAAGCCAGTGACACAAGTGAGTCATATTAGGTTGAATATCAATTTGTGCGCAAACGTGTGTGTGTCATATTGGAGTGTGGGTGCTCACTCACTGTGGTGGTTACTATTTTAAAAATAATGCTTCAAATGATGACTTATAGAAACTGCACACACCCAAACCAACAAGTGTTGATCTGTCTGTCGGTTTGTTTGTTTGTGCATTAAACTGCATTGTGCTTCATGGTTTTTGTCCACAAATTCTTTTGATCAGCACCTCATTTACCTATAACTTGTCAGCATCAAAGCAGCACATTTTATTCATCTTTTCAAATATTCAGTGTCTGTCACCATTCAAAATGAGTTTTAATTAGACAGCATCATTTGATGTAATTTCTCAGCAGGTATGGGGAGTATTTGCCCAAGATCATTCTTGTTTGTAATTATCCAGGGGATTAATCTGGTGTATTCACCACAGGAGCCTGTTGCTGTTGCATTGGCTTTGCCAGCCAAGTCATTAGATACACAGTCAGTGGGCACCAAACAACAGTTGGGTCTCTCCCACTCTTGTCAGCTTAACAGGGGAGCAGGATGAATACTGGCAGGCTTTGCAGCTTATATTTGGCGCATATGTCCAAGTGTGACCTCAGAGAGCAGTAGCAGTTTTTGTTCGTCCGTCTCTTTCTTTCTGTTTGATGAGTACACCTACTTACTGCAAATGCTGAAGAGCCACTACGCAGACCGAAGCTGGCGACAAAAGTGCTGTTTTCTAGGCCTGCTCATATCTATCAGACACACCTGAGAGATCCGAGGTGCACAATGCTTGATTCATTATATATCCAAGAACAAGCAAATGATGGATTGTAGCAAGATGTTCCAGACCTATTTATAGTTGATATTTAGATTTATGATAGCCAAGTAGCCACATGTTTCCAAGGTAAACGCCACACCTAACTCTGTGGCAGACAGGGACAGAGCTGCAGATGTCTGCCTGACAAACAAGCAGTCACCCCCTGAGACCCTCATCTCTCTACGCCTGCTAATTGACTTGTTATTGATCAACTCAAAGACAGTCTGATTTATGGGAAAGAGGACTTGTGGAGACAGCCACCTGGCATGGAGCAGAGTGTTATGAATGTGAGGAGCAAACCCTGGGAGACATAGAGGCTGCAGTTTAGGAGGACATACAGGAGTTTGCAATGCACCACTGAACTGACACCTTGCAGTTGG